GACAAACGAGACTTTGGCTTGCTCCTAATTCCAGGTCTAAAGGTTAGTTGAAGTGGGATTCCTAACATACGAGCAAAGAAGTAATAGTGCCTTGTAATGAGTGCAAAAAGAAGTAGTGTACTCACATCTAAAGCGAAGTTAGCATGTCGAAAATGACCACCTCACTTGAATGTCCCAATATTTGGAAACCTCAAAATTCGTTGAAACTTGGCCCTTACGAAAGGTGATTTTATGCTTTCAGTATTTTTTTTTAATATGTGCGTGTACGACGGTAGGCCAAAACATCAGTGCTGGTATTTTGTACAATCGGCCTATCAGATATTGTTGAATACATAATGTCGCTAACATCACTATCACCTCGACAACGACCCCCCCCCTTCCTGACCTACCGCCCTTGGTGTGGCGTGCCACATCTCACGCTTGATCCTGATGGGTCTGATGGTATCTGAGGGTCGAACTGCACATTAGCGCGAATCGAGAAGCATCCCCAAAGAACATGAATCAGTGGTACGAACAAGACAGCATCATCTGTCATTCGTACGTATTCTTCCATTGTCTGCTCTCCTAATCCTATTTCTAGTAGATTTCTTTTGATCGCGTTAAGTTGTAAAAGACCAGATATAACAGTAGGTTCCGAATTGTCTAACGCGTTGGTGCAAAAATTTTTACGTTTTGCAAGATTCGGTAACTCTTGTAACCTAAATGTGATTACCACTTTGCCTTCAAAACAGTAAAAGATTTTCGCTTGAAATTGCTTGGGATTACCTTTCTACGGGCTAACGATCAGAAATGATTTCAATAAGGCCTTGAACTTTGTGATTTTGGTGTCAGAAAACTGCGAAAAACTGCGCTAGCTAGCTCTAAAAACTTGCAAAAATTTCTTACATAGTAGCAGTCCATATGTGAATTTGAAAGGCTTCCATCTCGCATCGAAATGCAAAACAAAAGTTTTAAAAAAAGTTACTTAAAATATGAATACCCAAATTGCTGCATTTTTTCTTACAGAAACTTAGTTCAAAACTGAAAATATTGACCTAATGCTTGCCTACACTGCAACATATTTCAAGCTCAAACCGCGCTTTTGCTGAAAAGGTGCAGAAAAGGACTTATTCTGTAAAATGGATTTTTCACAAGTGTTGTTTTTTATCTTGCGAGATCAAGCCCGACACAGTAAAGTTTGAATCACTGGCGAGTAAAAAATCTTCAGAAACTTCTGCGGCTTAGGAGTCTTCCGCAACTTTTCAAACTCAAAATCACAAAGTTTGTAACGCTTTTTTTGAAAGCTTCGTTCATGGCTAGCACCCAGAAACTCATGATTGAACATCTGTCATGGAGCGCAATCCCTTTACAATTTTTAAGAGGAAAGATTGATTTAGGTTCGAGATTCCAAAAGTTATGAATTTTGTTCGAATTATGCAAGAATCTTCGTCTCAACATATTACATATTTCGTCCCCGTTCCCGTATTAGGATTATGAAAGTCCAACAAAAGCGAGTGGCATAATAAACGCCATTCAGGAGTGAACTATTGTGACGTGCGCGGGTAGAACATTTTTAGATTTGACTCCATTCGATGCCTAATTTTTGTGTCAATTCATGCATTCATTGCTGAATCCCTTGTTTCATTACATACATATTGTTGACATTGGCTACTCTTCCTGAGGCGTCGACAAGCACTCATTCACTTAACTAGGCCTTACGTTATGGCAGAATGGCTTCAGAACCTTTGACACATAGCTTAAAAATCTTTTCGAAGATTATCTTCGGAGCAGAGCACTTTCACACTCACTGCGCGACTGCAGCTACAGTGTGTGGGATTCTCATGATGTCATATCAATAATAGTCTTTCTCACTTTTCCATAAAAATATGATTTTCAGATGTCTTGTCTGTTTCGTCTGTTAAAGAAAGAATACCAGATTGAGCTGGCGATTGGAGACGAGATGTACCCTTTGTTTCAACCAGCTTGGCTGCTGGAAAGCTTCTTCACTTAGGAGGCGACGCTCGACTCCGCGACTCAGTCTGCGCCTTTCGCGACCATGATCTCTGATCATTTTCTAACCTCATTTAGGTCACGGAACCCCGCTTCTCTGCCGCCGATCTGGTTGAAGCGAAGGATATATCATTAGACGCCTCTTCGAACGCTAATTTCAAATTTGCTTTCTAGCCGAACAACCTGCGAAAGAAGATATAAGCGTTTAAATGTGCACATTTGTCTAGCTTTGGGCGGCATAAAATTGGCGAAAAGCGTACAAGAACACTTAAAAGTGACTAATTAGTTTTGCACCAGGTGTATTGACTACAACGAAGGAATACAGAGAGTGGACATTCGCACAGATGTTTCTGCTACCTTATTTCGGAGAGCTGTTCCGCGAAAAAGGAGAGCAGACTTGAAATCAGCGTTTGGAGGCGCGTTGAGTGATAGATATCGTCCTTAATTGTCAACCCAATTTGGTGTTCTTCCCTTTTGAGCGCGAAAACTCGGCGGGAACAAATTGCTTTAGCAAATTTTGAGTATAATGTTGTTTTATTTGATATAATCTCCTTGCTTCCTTCACATAAAGACACTTTCTACTCAAGTGTCGCGGAAAGGGTCGTCATACGCTTAGCAATCAAAACTTAAAGACGTCTTGTCTGTTTCATACATAAAGCTGAATGTCTGTTTGGAGTAGAGAAACGAACACCTCAACTAGCCACCGCCTCCGCGGGCTGCAGGTCCTTTCGTCCTACAGTTGTGCATCGTGGAACCAGTAGTTGCGCGGAGATGGTGCCTAATTGAGTTATTCGTTCTTCCACCTGCTCAGATAATCGCCGGGGGCAGGCGGCCATGCGATTTATGGGCAGGCGGGCACCGGAAAAATAGTTCGCTGATTTCCTGCGGTCCGCTTGCAGATATTTGGAAGAATTTTAGCGAAATTCTAAACGAATGCTTGGAGAACATTCGCGATTTTCTTATAGATTAGCTGCGGCCAGTGGCCGCATTCTCGCGGATTTTCCGCGAGAATATGCAAAATTATTAAGGGTCGCGCGGTCCTTTGTGAAGGGCCGCAAGCCCATAAGTACTTTCTGCTAGGAGAAAGCATCCCAAACTCGAGTAATTAAACCATCGATGACACCTCTGTCATGTATATCTTACCTTTGTTCAACGTACGCCCAAAACTGCTGAAAAACCGTCCGAGCGCCAGCTGAAAATTTGAGCAGCGCTCGCTGAAAGAGACTATTTGACGAGCGCCTGCAGAAAATCCTGTGTTGCTGCCCGCTGGCAGAACATTAGACAGTAAAGGAAGTACCGCTCGCTGAAGGTTTGGCCACGCCCCAAAATTCTGCTGACCGCTTGCAGAAAAGCGCGAGTTTGCGGACCGCCTGCCCCGGCGATTATCTGAGAGGGCACCGGGAAAATAGTTCGCTAATTTTTGCGGTCCGTTTGCAGATATTTGGAAGAATTTTAGCGAAATTCTAGACAAATGCTTGGAGAACATTCGCGATTTTCTTATAGATTAGCTGCGGCGCAGTGGCCGCATTCTCGCGGACTTTCCGCGAGAATATGCAAAATTTTCGAGGGCCGCACGATCCTTTGTGGAGGACGCGCAGCCCCCAGGTATTTTCCGCTTAGAGAAAGTACCTCAGACTTGAGTAATTAAACCAATGGTGACACCTCTGCCACACAGAGTCTTACCTGTGCTCGGCGTACGCCCGAAACTGCTGAAAAACCGTCCGAGCGCCAGCTGAAAATTTGAGCAGCGCTCGCTGAAAGAGACTATTTGACGAGCGCCTGCAGAAAATCCTGTGTTGCTGCCCGCTGGCAGAACATTAGACAGTAAAGGAAGTATCGCTCGCTGAAGGTTTGGCCACGCCCCAAAATTCTGCTGACCGCTTGCAGAAAAGCGCGAGTTTGCGGACCGCCTGCCCCGGCGATTATCTGAGAGGGCACCGGGAAAATAGTTCGCTAATTTTTGCGGTCCGTTTGCAGATATTTGAAAGAATTTTGGCGAAATTTTAGACGAATGCTCAGAAAACAATTGCGGCTTTTTCATAGATTAGCTGCGGCGCAGTGCGAGAATATGCAAAAATTTTGAGGGCCGCACGGTCCTTTGTGGAGGACCGCGCAACCCCCAGGTACTTTCCGCTGAGAGAAAGTACCTCAAACTTGAGTAATTAAACCAACGGTGACACCTCTGCCACACAGACTCTTACCTGTGCTCGACGCGCCCGAAAATACGTAAAAAGAGTCCGAGCGCTTGCTAAAAGTTTGGCCAGCGCTCGCTGAAAGAAATTATTTGCCGAGCGCTTGCAAAAAATGCCGTATTGCTGCCCGCTGGTAGAATATGCGACCGTAAAGGAAGTGCCGCCCGCTGAAGGTTTGGCCACGCCCCAAAATTCTGCTGACCGCCTGCAGAAAAGCGCGAGTTTGCGGACCGCCTGCCCCCGGCGATTGCCTGAGTGTGCGTCTGTTTGTACGTATGTTTTGAATAATATCTTTGAACCGATCAGGACCAAACTTGGCACACATACACTTTAAGGCGGGGCTGTCACGGGCTTTTTGTCATCGGTTCGATTTCATCGATCGATTTTTTGCAAAGTGTGTACGGGCTGAGAATTGGCACAGTGAGGTAAGGAGCATGCTGATTACTAATCAGAATAAGGAATTGGCATGTAGACGTGGGCACAGAGAAAGGTTTTACAAGGAAAGGGATGAGAGCTTTATCATAGCGTTTTGACAGGGTCGGGCGGAGCCGGGTAAGCCAGCTATTACTTGTATATGCCTATACTGTCTAAGCTATGTCATGAATTACTCCTGTCTATTCTCCTAGCTCGATGTCTCCATGCATCTCATATTGATCACACTGTGTCTCCCATACACCAATGTCAAATCAAAAAAAAAGATTGCGGATACGGAACGGATATGTGCAAACAGCAGGCTAATTAAATCTTTATTCGTTTACAATTCATAAATTAAGTTGATGATATTTGAAGATGATTAAGAATGACTGTGGACAGCAATTTTCAAAATCCCAATGCGTCGTGAGAAAAAAATTCAGCAGGAAATGGACTATTGACCTCCTGTTCCTGAAATGTTCAACAATCATGAGCATAGTTCAGCGATTTATTTTTGAAAATAAGGATCAAAGTCTTAGGTATTCCAAGCATAATATAGCGTCTACATCTAGGGAACATAGGTATATACCTCCGCAACACAGTTCGCACTTCATATACGTCATATTTTGAACTCATAAGACATCAAACATCAACTTTATCTTTTTCGCGGTAAATCTGTAGATTCAAGAAATGCTCAATTCTCGTTCACAGACATTTCGGAAATACAACAAGGGATTGGTCCCTTCCGCTTCCCTTGCTAGTGCAGTGTGTCGAGATAACATCTTCTCTTTGTGAGTACAACTTGGCTGCATTTGCCGCTCTGAGCAAGGTCGTAACTTTTGTTTCAACTGGATTGGCAGCTGCGAGGCGGGGCTTTGTGATGTAATTAACACGTTGACGACAGTGCCGCGCAATGGTGCGCGACGACGTGCTGGTGCGCGGCAGCCTTAATTTTAATAGGTACTTTTCCGTTATCCGGACCCATTTTTTTATAAGGCTCTTATAAAATACGTTCTGTAGTCTAAGTACGACTCTTTATGGATTCTACGAGGACTGCCTCCCCGCCACGTGTCGGGGAAAAATTGACACGTTCTAGTCCATTCTGACATGTTTTTTCGAAATCAATTCCGGTGAGGTATAAGGGCATTTGTAATCACTAAAAGCTGTTCAGTTGATTTATAGAAAAAACAAAATAATCTAGAAACCATTATTAGAATGTCTTGATTGCTTCTAGCAATGATTCAAGAATGTGTCTCTCTTCAAATTTTCCGCCATGCGAGTTTAGCCAGGAAAGTCTATAAATGATGGCTTGTAGTACCTCGCTGCTGCTTGTTTCGCCGCTTAAATGATGAAACCCTGGCTTACTTCTCTATTCTGGGCATATCTAGTGTTCGTTGATAAGAGGGTGACGTTATTAATATGACAATGGCCATTTTTGAAATTGTTTAATTGAAAATGGGCTCATTATTGACCAAAAACAGGTTGAACCCATGTTGCTAGGTAGAGCAAAATAAACTCTTGGTAAAACTTGTCAAACATGTAGATGGCATGTCAAATTTTCTTGACACGTAGCAGAAGGTTGACACTCTTTATTATCAAGGTGGGGCCAAATATAGTGCAAAGAAAGAAACATTATCCTTCTTTGAAAAAATGGGTCCGGATAACGGAAAAGTACCTTTTAATACTATCTGTCCAATCCTCTCAGTTTTTGTTCATATAATCAATATAGGCTCGTATGTACTTAATGTATTAGCCCCGCCCCTTTTGGCAAACTCCGCCCACTCCCATGCCTCTCACAAGGACCCTTTTTGTTTATAAAAAGCATGGATGAACGCAAAGACCTCAAGCAACTTCTAGGCAGGCCCTACCCACCCTCATGTAAACTCCGCGCACAAGTGGCAAGCTCCGCTCATTTTTCAAAAGTGGCGGAATGCGCACGAATTTCTAAAATTTTGGCAATTTCTGACATTCTTGGCCGAGTGGGCGGGGCTTGCCACATAGGGGCTTCCACATTTTATATTTCATGCATGGATACAAGATACATGCATGCGGCCAGGCGTAGGGATACACGGAAACGTCTCGTCCACAAGGACAGACCTCAAAAAATGGCTCGTCGTCAACGTGTTAAAGGCACCGTCCACCCAGATTTTCGACTTTCACGTTTTTGACGTTGCAGGGCCTTCTCATGACCCTGATTCCGAATATGAAGTCAAAAATGCGCGAAAACCCCGACAATCCCCGTTCCGGAGGACCCACTGGCCGGCTTTCCGGAGCGGTGATTGGATGGGCGCGCACAAATGGGCGGACATGGATGTGGGAGGGCGGGCATGGATGGGGGTCCTCATGCATCTTCGCTACTCCAAAGCAATTTTCTCGCTTCCGAAGCGGCATTGCGCCGCGACTTGGGCATTGGATTGATATGGGGCCCTACTATTATATACTGCCAAAAGCTCAAAACCCTCAACTTAGGGTGGACGGTGCCTTTAAGGCTAATGATCAGAGAGAAAGAGAGAGAGAGAGAAAGAGATGCAGACGTCGAGGGCGCGAGCGGTCGCCTTTCAGCCGCCAATCTCGTTGAATCAAAGGGTATTTGAGCATTTCTTCCAGTAGCATGAGAGTCATGTGGATTTTGAGGGGTGTGTATGCGCCTTTGCTTCTCAGGGTAGGAGAACAAGTAAAACCCGATAGGCGCATTCTCTCAGCTGCTTCTTTCGCACTTTCTATTATTCACTTTCTATCGTCACGGCAAAGTGAGTTGTTAAAACCGCGAAGAAGTGCGCTGCGGCAGCGCCATCTAACCTCAGCTGCATAACACATTAACTGCACTCTTGTGCATTTTTGATGATTTCTGCTTGATCTGAGCGAAGCTTGCTGTGAGTTTAATGCCCATATCACTCTCCACGGTATATTCACAAAATCAAAGCTATTTTATTAAGTTCGAAAGGTAAGAATGTCACAATGTCGAGCACTGTCCAGCAAACAAGTTTCATGTTATGAGCGCTAGAAACTCGCATAGATCTTAATGCAGCTGAAGTTTGCAGCCAAAACCTAAAACACCTAAATCTTTTTCCACAATTTTTCCGTTTTTTGGATGTAAGGCACGCAAGTTTTGGCATTATGTATGATCGGCTCCCAGATCCGTGTGGAGGCGGATTGCGGACTTCGCTGATCTTAAGGAGAAGCTTAACGAGAGAGTGCAAATACAATGCAGTAACGGGGAGTTTTAAAAAGTTCATTTTGAAAACTAGGGAAGTCCGCAACCCGCCTCCACACGAATCTGGGAGCCGATGATAGATCAAGTTGTGAGCTTCGAATCCGCACAGACATTTGGTTTTTGATAACAAAATAGAAAGATCCACGCATTTCATTTTGTAGAGTTTAGATTTAAAGCAAAAAAGAAATCATGCATAACTTACAACTGACTTGCTTACATAACTGTTAGACTAAGGGCCGTATGCACTAACCTCCCGCTGGGGAGGGGATCGCAGCTTAAAAGAAAGCTTTATATTTCGAAACTCCAGATACCTGGATTTCACGTTGTGTGCCTATCCGTAAGTGTTCCTACTACCCTTCACTATGAACATGTTGAACAGGAGCGAGAAGCTATGCGAACCGCACTTTCCAGCTTTTGTATGATCCCTGATGATCCCCGGCGCTTTTATTTCAAGTCATTTTTCTTTCTCCAAAGTTAACGAAAACTTTCCGAAGCTGTACTGAACACAACAGTGCTAAGCATGTTGCTGATGAGAACAAATGAGTTTTTGAAAATTCGAGTTTTCCGGTAAACCTCAAGTTTCGACCTGTGGACCCTAAAATTTCATGACTTCAAAACATCATTTGTTCTCATCAGCGACATGCTTAGCACTGTTGTGTTAGATGTTCAGTACAGCTTTGGAAAGTTTTCGTTGACTTCGGAGAAAGAAAAACGACTCTAAAGAAAAGCGCCGGGGATCATCAGGGATCATACAAAAGCTGGAAAATGCGGTTCGTACATCTTCTCGCTCCTGTTCAACATGTTCATAGTGAAGGATAGTAGAAATACTTACGGACAGGTAGACAGCGTCAAATCCAGATATCTGGAGCTTCAGAATACGAAGCTTTCTTTTAAGCTGCGATCCCCTCCCCACGGGGATGTTAGTGTATGCGGCCCTAAGTCCTTACGTGTGGAAGTTATTCTGTAGAACTCAGTTGGCTCAAGAATAACGCAAAGGATTAAACGAAATTGATTTTAGTGCTGTAAGGAGTGCCCAGGGATGAGTATGAATCACAATGGCAAGTGTAAAAAAGGAGATAAAGTATACCAAGATGGTAACAATCAAACTTTTAGGCTTCGCTTTGGCGCGATACCATGAAAAAATGTTCCTCCATTCTTTTCAACTTGAAAGATACTTTTTTGATATTCGCATTCCGTGGAAAGTGCTTAAAAGGTGTAGTAGAAGAAAGATGATAAAGTTCCGAAGAAGGACGGCGCAAGCGAAGTAGCCAGATCGGTATACGTCTATTCCATTTTAGAATTCTTCAAAATTGCAAAAAATGCTTATATTCTAGAGTGTCACTTTGACAAATTTCACAACCTCCTAGCGCTGAGATGCTTATGTATGTATTAGGCGAGTACGCAATCTCAATCTCCAATTCCACCTACATCCTCCTGCAATAAGACAATTTGATCAAACATAGGAAAAAATGTAGATTTAGCCAGGACAAAACTAGATTTGTTACCGCCTACTTTCCCTTCGAGAACCATACTATCATGGATCCTACATGTCATATCCTTGTTCTCCAAGCTTTTGATACTGGCGTTCAAAAGGGAGCATGAGTGCCAAGTGATAATAAATATTATAGTGTGTAAGTTTTCTGCAATTATCTCTTCTCACTGAATTGCATACAGTCAAGTAGATTTCCTGTTTAGATGTCCCTGCAGACGCGACAACGGTTATGCGTCGATAAATACCGTTGCGAGTTTCCGCGCGATGTTTGCTAGTACTTTCTTTACTTATTCTTTACTTTTTAGGTGGCTTGTTGCTGATGAAGGAGAAAAAGGTAAGCTGAAAAGTATTTTCTGTTTTATGAGTGGTTGCATTAACGCTTATTCTTAGGTATCTAGGTGGAAGCCAGGTCGCGTCTGTTTCACGTGTATTTTCTGTCACTTCATGCTTGTTTCCTTTTGTGAAGTATTTCTTCAAACCGTAGTGAGCTGGCAACTTCGGCTTTTTTTCGAAGAAAGATAGCATCTCACCGTATAGTTCATGCGATAAAGAGGATAAGTTATATGTAAAAGCCTACTAGCGTTTAAAAAAGCTTCCAAAGAAGGAAGAGGCAACAGCAGGTGGCAAAAGTATACACATGAAACTGACGCGAAGATGGATAAAGAGCCAAAGCACAATGCACATAAAACTAACGACTAGCTTCCACGTAGATAATGAGAATAAGCAATGATTTGACCGCTCAGAAAACAGAAACTACTTTCTAACTTACCTTTTGCTGTTTTATCAACAGCGACTCACCTAAAAAGCAATTAATAAAGAAAAACTCCACAAAACACTAGCTGAAACTCGTAAAGGCATTTATCGACGCATATTTGTTGCCGAGTCTGCAGTGACACTAATAAGCAGAAAATTTACTCGACTGTACCTTGCGAGGACCAAGACGCGTTGGCGAAGTTGATGATCGTATGTTCTTTAGCCCTTTTCTTCAGTAAAGAAGTTCAGTTTGACATTTGCCACCCTCGTGCCACCATTTGCCCCCGAATTGCCAAAGGTGAACAAAATTTTCCAAACTAATTGAGCGTACCCTGCTAACCCTTACACCTACATAATACATGCGTTGAACGAGCTACAGTCTTTTTCAACCCGGAGTAGGAGAACACTCTACGTGGAGCAGCGCGTCCGCACCGCCACTGGCTCAGCGAGAAAGTAATATGAAGAAACGCAGACTGCAAAACGACGCAAATCGTTGAGACTCCCGCCAGTCCAATTTCCGCCTAAACTGAGTTGAAACCTACTGTACACATCACTGAATCCCTAGATAAATGGTTTTAGACCATAATTCACCGCACCTAGAGTAGCGCCAGTACGCAAGTATTCTTTCCATTCCGCCATTTCCGAAAGTTACTGCAGAGTAATAATAGAACTACATGTTTGAAAATCCAAAATTTGTAGCTCTTCTATTATCCTGCAATGCCTTTTGAAAGTGCTTATTAATGCAAAATTTTCCCATCTTGGTGCTTACAGACGGAGAGCAGCCTTGAAGATTGTCATTGTCGCGCAACTCTGATTGGTTACACGTTTACTCTGATTGGCCCAGGCTCTGAGCAGGGCCGGAGCAAAGCAAGGACCGACAGGCGCATTTGCGAGCTCGTTGGCTCACTTTTGTACAACTATCTTGTCCAATACCATGACAAGTGTTGGTACATATCTATTACACGCTCCAAACCATGATGCGCTTCCGTTGACGCGTACCTTTTGACTCAACAGGATTGGCGGTTGGAAAGCAATTCTTCGAGCCCGCGACGCATTCTGTGCCTTTCTCGCGAGTGTGCTCTGTGATCATTCTCTAGTCTCAATCAGGCCTCGAAGCTCGTCCTTCAGCCGCCACTCCCGTTGAATTGAAGGGTATCGCTCATGACGTCGCATGTGGCAAAACGAACATCGTGCGCAAACAGTTCAAAGGACCTACAGACACTGTAGACCACTAGCTTTCAAACACATTTAGAAATTTAAAAAAGAACTGCTTACAGCTGATTGAAATGTTTGTTCTGGAGTGAGGAGAGGGGATTGTAGGGAAACAGTCCTTTTTTCTACACTTTGTCTGTAAGTAAAAAGTCGAGTTTGCCAAGAGTATTTCAATGCTCCTTACGCTGGTGTATTATCGGGCGTTACTGTTGCTTCCTTCGACACCGACGTATCAAAGGATCGTTTCTCTTTTGTCTTTGTTTTCTCCCAATCGTAAGGATCAGAAAAGCTAGAAAAACCATTTAAAACAACATTATCATCAAGTAAGCGTTTATCGAAAACAGAAGTTTTGATGGTCTTATGATAACCGCTTCTCCTATTGCCATGTTTTGTTTCGAAGATTCCTACTAGAGAGCAAAAAACTACTCTGATAGAATCCTCGAACTGAAGCAAAGGTGTTTGTCAGGTCAGTATTGCTAGATGAATATTTTATAATACTAATCGCAACATTTGAGTAATACAACAGATGCAGTTGGGAAATGCTTGATGTCCCATACAAACAAATAAAACATCTTTAAACCGGTGTGTGTGCTGTGTGTGCGCGCAAATTTTATTTTCCGAAGAACTTATGCAGTGACATTTTAGAAAAGTCCAAATACCGCCAATTTACAGGGCTTTCACTCAGCAGATAAATGCTGAATGTGAGTCTTAATTATCAAAATCTACCTTATCTTTCCGCTCCTCATGACTTGTTCAAGTAGACGATATAGTAGAGCATAATCCGGTCGAAGATAGTAGTTAAGACTACTGTGAAATAGATCTTTACTATATTCTACAGAGCAAAGATGTTACCTTATATGCTCTCCAAAAGCGATCAACTCTACTGGACAATTCTCTAATAGCTCTTCTAGCTCAATGTCCTTCTTCATTCTGAGCACTTTATGCCGGTCTCTTAAATGCAAAGCAAATTGCATGGTATAAACGCCCATCACGTACCGTACACGAGACCAAGGTAATGGCCCTCGCAGCTCTACAAGCACATAGAGCAGACACCATAAATCATCCATTCTTCCTTGTTCTCCTCTCTCTTGTACATTAGCTGAGCAGTACCGTATGGTTCCTCTGGACATTTTGTTGAATACTCTCTAGGCTCGGCTCATGATGAAGGGGCTTGATTGTCCGATGTGTGTATTCGTAAACTTGTTAGAATGCGTACTACGAGCATAAGTCGAATTGAATTAAAGAAGACCAGCTAGATTTTCTTTGTTTACATGTCATCTTCAACATCGTGAAGAGGTTATTCGTTTCGTTTACGGACTTTTTTATAAATTAGTGCATGACCTCTGCTACGCGGAGGTTTGGCTCTCCTCACTCTCGCATCATAATCGCTTTGAAAAATCGCAAAAGGCTGACTATCACGAATGAAGGTAGAACAGCTATTCATTTCTCTAGCTTTTCTATGTAAGCTTTTTGCAGAAAAACAAATGCGAAGATGAATCATTTACAAAATTTTTTGGTCCGATAGTCGCGATAAGGACGATAACACCGATAACATATCTCCAAGCAATTATTCTCTCAGTTGCTTGAATAAAACCTCCACAAACTCATATGCGCAATCATTCCTTTTTAGCGCAGTTTTTGTGAAAAAAAGGATTTCGATTATTTTTTGAGTTAAAATCAACCTGCGCATTTGATTTCCAAGCGACTTATCCCTTTGCGAAACGTCTCAAACACCTTAATTCTGAAGGCCAAAATTTGCGTGGACCCGTAGAATCCGGGTTTTTGAAGAATCTGTGTATCGGACCGGCCGGCTCTTCTTTGAACTTGATGGACCCACATGCTGGTAACCTATATGCGAAATTGTAGCTCGAGACGTTGGCTGCAATTGCTCTATGAATTTCGTGACAAACAGACATACAACAGACAGACAAACAGACAGACGCTTAGCGCTTTATTATAAGTCACTAACTGCTTGCCCGGTCCACATTCGCTCGGTTCTAGAAGCTGGTGCGCAACTTCAAAGGCTAAACTTATGTGCGACTCGGCTTTCTTCTGTTTCTCGTAGCGCAGTATAGACGACCATGACTACATAGCCATACCGCACCTGCCGCTTCGTGAAATAATGTAATTGAGTTCTGCCACTGCTGTTAACACGAAAGTTAGAAGCGGTTTGATGGTGATTGATAAGAATACAACCATCTATAAAATTGATTAATTATTAGAAGGAGTCGGAATTCCGCTGCGAAAAGTAGCCTGCGGGCGGATCGGTTCGAAAACATATGTGTGCAAAGTTTGGCGCTGATTTCTCCACACATAAAAACTTATATAAATCACAAACGACAGAAATTCAACAACACTTAGCTTTATGTACTGTATATTTGATAGGAGTTCTCTGATCAGTATTGCGTAATTTTCATCAGACACGAACCAGAATTTTATGCGATGTATAACTTCAAAAATTTCGCAGTTTTCTTTTGCTAATCTTTTGCTAGAGCTTCGCCATTATAATTTTTCCAAAAGAACCATTCCATTTTTTTCTGGAAGTGAGTTCAAACGTGAATTCTTTTAAGTGGCTTTACTTTTGCCAGTGTGTGTCCTGATAGCGTTACCTTTCCGTCCCTCTTCTAAGTAGCTGTTTCCAGTCCTCATTTTCAAAATTGCTACATTAATATGCTGACAATGAGAAAGTACTAAATGCAATACATAGATAGCATAGTCGAATCAGAACTTTCCATTGACGAACGAATTATATTAAGGGATCAAATGTATTTTCAAAAATCTCCTTCTAACTACCCTTCAATTGTGGGTCAATGTAAAGCATGGCAGAGCAAGGTGGAAATTCATCTATAGTTCTGACCCTCAAAGGTAGCGTTTCGATAAGCGGGGATGCCGGATTACATAGCATTGCATTATCACACCTGCCAAGCATAAGTAAAAAAGAGCTAAAATGTGAGTCAAAAAAGACTTAAATCGCTCTTGTTTTAGATCTTCTCCATTTTCGAATCCAGCCACCCTTTCTCATTTGAGAATGGGCTTGCTGCACAAATTACTATGGATGCTAACGAGCACTTTCAAAGTGGTGGATTTTGCTCCATACTCCAAGTTCGAAATGGAAAGTTGAAAAAAAGTTTTCCCTTATAAAGAAGGAACAAAGCAAATCAGTAATTCGATAAAAAGACAAGGACATATGAAAGATCACTACCAGGGTCAAGGGTGAAGTGTGTCATGCTACACCTGGGGTCGTATTGAGAGGTCGGAGAGGGGGGGGGGGTGTTATCGAGGTGAGCTAATGTTAGCGATAACATGATATTCGTTAACAATGTCAGATAGGCGCTGTGTAAAGTAGTATCACATTGATGTTTAGTCTATTATCGTTTTCGTACAGTGGTCGTAATAAAAGAGCACTATAAGCATAAGAGCATTATTTTCGTAACTAGAATGTCAAATAAACCCTGTGTCAAATTTCAGCGAATTCTGAGATTTCCAAATATTTGGCCATCCGAGTGAATAGTCATTTCCAAACATGTTACCTTTGTTTCAAAAGTGAGTTAATTATTTCTTTCCGCAATTATTACAAAGAACATTACTTCTCTGCCTACATTAGGTCCCAGTTCGAATAACATCCAAACTATGGAACTACGAGCAAGCCAAAATCCAACTTGTTCCATTTTCCGCTTTCAATATCTCACATCAGCCAGTCAAGTTCAAATCACTTTCATGTAAATTATGAGGCTCAGTCTATCAAATATATTAGGTCGTTTCAAAAGTAATTTCGCTTTTTTCAAACGAGCGCTACATTTGATGGAACAAAGGTTTCTAAGAGATCATGGAGGCATTCAATGCAGAATTTCATTCTCTTTCTAATCGTTATGAAAATCTTGCAAAACAGTCAGTGAGCTTTTAGAAAATAACCAAAACTTGCGACCCATGCTTTTCAAGATGGTCAAGTTTCACAATTTTTTTGAAGCTTTCATATCAATCCTCAGAAGAAGTTCAAGTAACGATTCGATAGAGTAAACGTCATGGAACACAGTGCTACTTTTTTCTCTTTCTCATAGCTCGCCTATTTGTTTGAAAGATTATTTAATAGAGCCATCGGATTTTGGCAGGCCCACCTCAGCCACAATCGCAGCAAACATCATAATTTTTCGGAATTTGAGACCACCAAGACTGTACTTTGAGTTAGCACTAACTTTGCAAAGCAAGTGAGGGTTTACGGGTTCGAAATATCAAATTTCGTGATTTTCAAGTACAGCATGAGGCTCCTTGAAAAAATGAATTGTGAAGATTTTATCCCCGAAAACTAAAAGAATCGGAAACAAAAACCAACTGTTAGAAAGAGGAGAAGATGCTGCGTCGAATAGTGGCCGAGCTGCTCTTCCTTTGATGTTCTACGAGGATTTAGCGGCCCGAGTATGAAAATCGGTAGCATCAGTCAAAATTTTGACAAAAATGTATGACGAGCAATGGAAAGGATAAAAAAGTAGTTTTGCATTCTATATGGTTTGCTCTATCGAATAGTTACTTGAACTTCTTCTGAGGTTTGATGTGAAAGTTTTAAAAAATTGTGGAACTAGACTATCTCAAAAAGCATGGGTCGCAGACTTTGATTATTTTCTGAAAGCTCATTGACAGTTTTGCAACACTTTCATAACCATTATAAAGAGAATGAAATTCTGCATCGAATGCTTCCAAGATTCTCGGAAACCTTTGTTCCATCAAACGTGGTGCCCGTTTGAAAAAAGCTAAATTACTTTTGAAACGACCTAATATTTATCCTTGTCGCCTTCTTTCGTGATTTACATAGCAGCGCAAACTAGGCATGTTACCGTAACCTAATATCGCAACATTTTCCATTTGCGTAGATGAAGAAAAACGACTACATCTTTCCCTAAAAGAAACGATTCTAAATGGTTTTTCTACTGTGTAGAGAAGAAGGTTGAGCAATAGCAACCATATAAAAAACGCGATCTGAATGGTCTAAAGGTAAGTTAATGGGGTGTGGCACAACCCTATTAACTTACCTTCAAGGAGATTTTAGGAAACAAATTAGGTACAGTTCGATAGCAAATATCTCGTAGTTTTTGAAGAATTGATTTGAGCTGGATTCGTTTTCCTTCGTTTGAGCAATAGTTGCTTGAAGCACAACTACTGCAAGCAAAAAATAGGACAGACGAGATTTTGGCTGGCTTCAATTCCATAGCTTAATGGTTATTTGGACCAGAATTCATGATATAGGCTAATAGGGATTAGTGCTTCGTAGTAAGCACAAGAAGATGTAGCTAATTGGCTTCTGAAAAGTAGTTAATTATGTTTGAAAATGGCCGCTTCACTTGGATGGTCCAAATTGGGAAACCCCAGAATTCGCTAAAACCTGGCCCACAGGGATTTTCTGACATGATAATCACAAATATGTAAATATGTTACTATTATGCGAGGGAAAGCCTTTATGTCATGCCTAAGTAGGCGAGCAAACGAAAATGGGGGGGGGGGGGTGGCAATGACCAAGAAATGTGGCACACAAGGGGATGGTCAGAAGTCGAAGTGGCCAGTCTATTAGATGCAGCATGAAGCGCTGATTCTAAATCTGTCTTTCTTATCTGATTATCGTTTTCCTGGACCTTTTCCTGGAATTATAAGCCATTAAAAACCACTATTTTGCTAAGAAATTAAGCGTGAAAGTGAAACTTTGGCGGTACAAAGCCACGTTCGGCTCAATGCTGGCCCAAAACATGCAACTAGGTTACTCTAAAGCCTTAAAACCTAAAGCTGAGAAGAAAGCGCAACAATGTGCTCAATTTCGCAGATTTTATGCACGATTATTTAGCAATAAAACTGCTTGTTCGCCCACAGAAGCGACATGCAGACAAGAAAAAAAGATTCGAAGTCAGCGTTTTATGCTGCATCGAATGGTATAAAGCTTGTTTGATTTGGCACTTCAACTTCTGACCGTTCCCCTATCAGATTTTTGAGGTTATCGGTAAATTAAGAAGGAATTGGCAATCTGGATAACGGTAATCTGTTCAAAATCAGCATCACTTATTCCTGCCTCTCTTTGCATGTTTCAAGAAATCAACTGGTTAAGAAATCGTGAGAACGGATTTGACTGCGGTCTTTCAGCTCACAGGAGTAGGAAACACTTATACAAAAAGGCATCGCCTCAACTCTCAGCTCAGTCACTTCCAATTTCTAAATACTGTCCTATGTAAGCAGAAAAACCATTCGAGTGGAGATGAATACCAAGAAACGGTTGCCAGGAGATGCGCGCGTTTCGCGCGCGGTCGCGCTACCTCCACGAATTTTCGAATGCCCTATAAAATGATTTGTTCACACGGCTCCGATATTGCTGCTTATTCAAGACGAACAGTTTCGAACAGACCCACACAGACTTGCTCATCTATGAGTTCCTTTATATGACCCTGGGTGGGCGGCGAACGCCATTGCGGCTATCACAGTTGCATGCTCCTGTGGCTACTAGTATGAAGTAACTTACACTATGATTAACGAAGGGGTTTTTTGAGGGGGGGTCCAGCTTCAGATTTTCCAGAGAGTCCAGCCTATTGCCTCAAAGATATTAGTTATGCTCAAATTTATTTGCACTGGCCTACCGCTTTTTGTTGTAACTTCAAGACATCATTAAAATGTGTTATTCTTTAACGTAGCTTTTTTTGATTTTTTTTCAGTTCGCGCGGTTATTATGCCATACTCTTACTGGTTTGAGCATATCCATCTTCTATCATTACTCAATGCATCGCAATGACTATTCAATATCTTGTATTTATCATATTGAATTATGCCATCTTTTATATTTCTGCTGCCCTCTGTATTACCTATGACACATGTTGCGCTGTTTTTAAATTCACACCTCAGCTGCAAAAAATTCCGCAGCGAATGATGTTACTTTTACGATACGAGTACCTGAAGTGCACGTACGGTCTTGGCCTTCGCATCTTCCTCCTTCCATCTTCCACAACAACAAACTCTCTAGCAAGTCCGAAGTCAAAGATGTGGAAGATACGACTCTGCTCCGAGTATTTGTAGCCAAGTGCCATGTTTGACGGCTTTACATCTCTGTGTATAAAGCCAACCTGTCAAAGTTAATTATAGGATAAAAGAGCATAATCGGTATTGAGTGCAGGCACCACCTACATCGTGTATTTGTTTAATACCATATAACAAGTTGATTCCAATGCGAATCTGTGTAGACACAGAACAGACCTTTCCAATCCTTCTAAAGTCGTTAACTTAATTCGTTTGATACCTTCTACCGCTCTTACAGCTGTCCAATTATTACAGGTTATTGCAAGTGTGATCATCGTTATCGATGTTACAGTTGTAAACAAGATGTTGTTGTTTGTTGATCATTATTATCAATGTTATCAGCGTCAACACCGATGTCACTGCTTTGAATGAGTATCTCATTCTCTCACTCGCGAACAAATTGCTGGCTGAATTCTCTTGCACAGGAGAAAAGGGTAACCGTAATTGCCAGCCTTGGGATGGCGAACAAAAATACTGCAACGCCAACCTTTCATTCGATCCGTAACCGTAAAAAATTCGAAAACGCTGATAAAAACGTTGATAACATAGCAAGATTGCAGCTGTACAGCGTGTGAGTTCTGACCAGAGCTTTGGTATGTCATGGAAGTAAACTGATAACAATAGCTACAATTGATTCAACTGGCTGAGCTTCGGCAAAGGCGAGGCTTCGTGACCTAATTAAGGCTAGATAATGATCAGAGAGCACTCGCGCGCGAGAGACGCAGGTGCATCGCGGGCGCGAGCAACCTGCCCTGACGGAGCTAAACCAGCTGAATCAAAGATAAGGAATCTGCCATAGGTTGCTTGCACCTGTTGCAGAGGTTGCCGAAGTTGCTGGGGTCACCGCTTAGAGAGCACAACTACCACTGCGAGGTCCTGCAACAATCGGCAACCTCGGCAACTGTTGTCGGCAGCCTATGGCCGATCTCAAAGCTCAAGGTGCTACTTCGGTTGTCCTACTCATGATTACTACTTAAAGGTTAAATGCAATGAAATTCCATGAGAAAGAGAACAGTTCAAAGGAAAGCAATTAAAGGTTGCAAATCTGAACAAGCTGCCTGTCCGTTCTCGAATCTTCTTATTATCCTTTACAAAAAATATACGAATTATGCACACTGCCATATAAGCCGCCTTTTTTGAATAATTCCTTGAATACTTTGGACGATCCCCAGCGGTTGACAGTCAATTGATAGGTTAACAATTTTTTCTATTTACTGGCTTCCCCCTCCAAATCGGGTCATTATCATTTGAGATGGTAGGTGCTATATTGTCGTCAGCATAGTTATTGCATTGCAATACCCCTTCCCTCTCCCCCTTCATTCCATCTTAGGGCCGCATGCATTAACATCCTCGCTGGGGAAGGGATCGCAGCTTAAAAGAAAAGGTCTATGTCCTGAAGCTCCAGATACTGATTTTCACGTTGTCTACCTATCCGTAAGTATTCCTACTATCATTCACTGTGAACATAATGAACAGGAGCGAGAAGCTGTACAAGCCGTATTTTCCAGTTATATGATCCCTTGATGATCCTCAGCGCCGGACCCTCTTTTCTTCAAGGTTATTTTTCTTCCTTCAGAGCTGGTGTGAATGTGCCAAAGTTCCACTGATCATCCAATCAAACAGTGCTAAGCATGTTTCTGATGAAAACAAGTGATGTGTTAGAATCATGAAATTTGCGATGAATCACAAGTCGGGGTTGGGGTTTATCGAAAAACTCAATATTTCATTTTCTTATTAGCAACATGCTTAGCACTGTTGGGTTAGATAATTAGTACAACTTTGGAAGGTTTTCGTTAACTTTGAAGGAAGAAAAATGACTTTGAACAAAAGACGTCCAGCCGCGGGGAATCATCAGGGGATATACAAAAGCCGGAAAATGCGGCTTGTACGGCTTCTTGCTCCTGTTCAAGATGTTCATAGTGAATGATAGTAGTGATACTTGTGGATAGTAGACAACGTGTCCAGGTATTCTGGAGCATCAGGATATAGAGCATTCTTTTGACTTGCGATCCACCTTGCGTGATTTGATGCATGCGGCCTTTAGATGACTTACCTCGTGGGACTTCATTTCACCGCTTCCTCGTAATTCAGGGACTCAAATGAGTTTTACCACTCTCGTTTACATCTGTGAACTGAGATGATGAACTGATTCACTAGGTATGAGGAACGGGGAATGGGGACTATGGGGAATGTTCTAGTGCTGATTGTTAAGCCATTTCTCTAAAAGTGCATAAAAAATCAATAAATCTATAGAGGGGTTCAGTGAACGGAGCCATATGTTTTCGACACCGGCGGAGAGTATTTTCTCCGCCGGTGTCGAAAACATATGTGTGCAAAGTTTGGTGCCTATTCGTTCACACAAAACTTTCCATTCCAAGCATAGGAACAGTTTAATCAAGAACTTTGAGTTTTATAAGGGTAGAGATTGAGTGAAAAAATGCTGCGCTGATTGCTACAATGCTAAATATCTTTTACAGAGATAGATCAGGCATTGAGTTTCTGATGGACCACAGACCGAAAGTTGGGGTTCATCAAAAATCCTACCATGAAGGGTCACGAAGTCGAAGTGGCCTATCACTAAGCTGCAAACCCGTAGTGCGAGCTCGGAGCGCTTATTTCAAATCTGCTTTCCATATTTACAGAGCCCCTCCAGGAAAGAAGTTATGAACATTTTTTGAGGCGAAAAAATGAATCATAACAAGGCTGAAATCAATCGTTACAATCTATATAGATGTCAAATGGTGAAATAGGACGAACTGATTTACTAGGCAGAAGGAATTTGTTGTTTAAAGTATTCTGACAGTTGCTTCATTTGAGATCTAGAGAGGTTGTATTGATTAATATTATCCCGACCACACTTAATGTTTGTGCCTCAAAAATGCTCATAATTTTTTCCCAAAAGCGCTCTGCAAGTAAGAAAAGAAGATTTCGTACCAGCATTCCAACCTCTCACTCGACATGCATTTTGAATTTCGGCTACTTCAAAATAGTGACATTCACTTGTTAGAAGACAAGGACCCAAATTTATCGTGGCCTTTTCAGATAGCATTTGGAGTACTTTTTCAGAATTCTGACCTCGAATCTATTTTCGCTATCTGCAAAGCAATTTCGTGGTAGATAATTTTGATAGATACGGACCCATCTTTTCAAAATGTTCGTACAAAAAACGCGCTTCGGGCTAGAGATTTTTTTCTAGTTCTTGTGAGCTCTCTCTTCTGTCACGAGTCAAGATAAAAATTAGCACGTTTGGGATCAGTTTGAGATGACTTTCAAAATCATTTCTGGTGAGGTGCGAGAGCATTTGAAATGACTCGAAAGATGTTCAGGGGTCTTGCACAGAGACAAAACAGTTCGAAAGTTTATTTGAAGTTTTGGTAGCTTTCAGCAATGATCTGAGAAAATCCTGCTCTTCACATTGTTTCCGCACGCGGTTTAGCCGAGAAATTGTAAATAATGGCTTGGTACCCAACTGCCGATTTATTAAACACAATATGCCATTTTCTTAATGTTAGAGCTCATTTATAAAACTGTTGACCAAAAATGGGTCATTATTGAATAAAAAACCGATCAAAGTTACATTGGGGTAGGCTGAACAAAGTCTTGGTAAAACCTGTTAATCATGTACGTGACTTGACAATTTTTTCGCGTGGCAGGGGGCTAACTTGGTTCGACGAAAGAAGCAATACTCTTTTTTGAAAAAATACGTTCGGACAACGGAAAAGTACCAGTAGTTCATATACATCTCACGTGGAAAGGCTAAGGTTACCTCGTGTCTTTCCCTTGTTAGAATATTCGTGAGTTATCTGTTTTTATCGGGAACATGCTCTCAGTAGTGCTGAAGTAGAATCAATCTAACCTTCGATTTTTTTTCATCAACTTCATATGAAGATAAACGACTATGATGGATGCGCAGCAGCTGGAGATCACCGAGTTACATGCAAAAAGATGAAAAGCCTTCCACTGCAGTCCTTTGTTTGGTGTATCCATAGTAAGGAACAATGAAAACATTCAAAAATTGACAGGCAACGGGAATTCATGACGCTAGGAGCTACATGATATGAAGCGTCCTTTTTTGCTGTGCTTCCCTCCCCGATGGGATATGAGTAGCAGCCTTACGACTTTAACAAAATTCGGTGAGCACATTTCATATTCTTATGACAATTTGTCCTTTTTATTGACCGCACGCTAATACGCTCGCTAAATGTGGGTATAAGGCACTACAGGTATAACATTGACTCACCTAAGTATGTCATCCAAACTCTGTCCCAGTAAAGTCATGACAATGTATGAGTAAAATTCTTTTTTACCGCTTTGTAAGAGCTGTGCGACGTGAGGCTTCCCAGCTAGACGTTTTAATATCTGAACATAAATTTCTGACCGCGCTGCGATTATCAAATGAATATCTCAACGTACCAGAGCTTCCAAACGTAACACGCTTCCTCGTTCGCCATTCGCCTCTGCTTTGAGAGCAGCCTGATAAAATCGATTTCGTATTGCTGTAGGCTTACATAAAACAACTGGTGTGAAGTACGAAGAAAATTTTACATAGGTGAAAACAATTTTTAACGCGTTAATGATATACCCACTCGATGACATTTGCTTTCGAAAAAAGATGTTCAGTACTCTAATCTAACGAGTACAAGAAGCACCTTTTTTTCTAAACTTGACTAGCCTGAACATACTAAAGAATCGATAAACGGACCCTCTACCGTTTCGCGAGGCATAGTGGTGCGGCCAGCTGCTTCCTTTGAAAATAAAAAAGCGTGTCTTGTACTCGTGAAATTAAGGTAGAGGCATTGAGCATTGGTTACATTTTCGTTTTTCTTTGTTCCAGCAGTGGCACATCGTTAAGTTTAAAAACGAAAGTTTCTTGGTGCTTAGGTTCTTCTTAGTACAAAGTTTTATCCAGACTTCTTTCAAGATTTAGATTCGAGTAGTAATGTGTGTTAGAAAATGTGCTGTACGAAAACTTAATTTGCTGCACGAAACTTTTCAACAACTATCTCTTTGGCACCCGCCATGCTTGATCCTCTTGATCCTCTTGAACCGCTTGATCGCTTGATTCGCTTCGTGCAAAACGAGCGCGTACTGATTTGTCATTTGGTGCTATGTAAAAAGTTTTTGTATAGTTGTGCAAATTCGCTGTACTCCACGCCAAATGACAAATTAGTAGGCGCTCGTTTGGCACGAAGCGGATCAAGAGGATCAAGGGGATCAAGGGATCAAGTATGGAGGGTGCCTTACCAACTTTGAGTGAAATCTTGTTGGTAGGAATGACACAGCCAAATTAATAGCGGTTCTCGCTTTGTTCTACCGGAAGTACAGCAAAAACTTAACTCATCTCTGAAAATCCTAAATTATGCTGGCAAAATTGTCCAAAAATGGAGGAGACCGCCGCTGGGAGACGACAAAATCAATTATAGAAGTTTTCGCACTCTGCCGTACCAAATACATGAGAAGTACAGTTCGCCGAAAATCACTTTACCCCATGGAGCTTCGAAAAGTGGCCTTTGGGACAATCCTAAGTTGGAAGTGTGAACACATCTCTTATAGTCATAGGGTGGAAACTAGCCTTGCAAGTTGCCATAACTTTCCATTTCTTAAATATGGCTCACTCAAATTTTTGCATTGCGTCTAAGATGGGAACTTTGATTGCGCCGCCTCACTGCCATATTCTTTCACCCTTAAAATAACCGATAAGTGGAGGTGAAAGAGGCAAAATTACGCGTTGTCGAGAAAACGATTAAGATTTAGTCTGAGTGAATGCTGGCTTTGAAATGCTGATTACAAAAATGATACCTATTCTGCATAGCAGCGCTTTTGCTATAAAGTCAAAATGAAGTCAAAAACTTGTCAAAAAGAATGAGGAACCGTAAAAGGCAAATCTTATTAGCTACTACGAAATCTCAGCAAATCTGGAGATTTCCTTGATCACTAAAGGACATCCGCAGCAACGTTGCCGATAGCGGCTTGTTCAATTGTTAGAAAGGTCAGATCTCAATTCCATTTTTGGCTCAAAATAACACTAGCACTATCAAGACACTTGGCACGTGTTCAATTCAAGGCTCGGACAATTGCGTCACTCGTCAGGGACGAGACTGTGCCTCTGCCGAATCCCAATCAATGTTAAATCAGCTATTTATCAGACAATGGTTTGATCAGTCGCCTCTATGTAGCCGTGTTTGGCTACTAAACCATTCGTAATGAGATAAAAATCATGTGACTTTCAAAACGCTGATTACAAATCTGCTTTCCCTATCCCTTAAGCGTTTTGTCTGAGATAAGTTATGAACTTTCTTTCCCATAACCTTGCATGGCAAGCTTAGCCAAATCATTGATATCCGCGTTTTTCGAGAAGGAACGCAATTAAGGCCGTATATCACGAAGTAGTTGCGTCCATAATTGAATGTTGTTGGAACGAAACAAGAAATTTGAGCGATGCTCATGCGCAACTCTGCGGTGGTATGACCATTTTTAAAGATTGACTACGGCGCCATCTATTCCTACCGGGCTGGCTGCGCGGGCGGCTCGCGCGCATGAGCCATGCGGCATAGGAGAATGAATGTCGCATAGACGCAATCCCCCACGTCTATGCGACATTCAATCTCGTTTTATCGTACAGAACTTGCTAATAAGGGTTTTCGACCAGTTACTTGTAACAGAAGGAGCAAATAAGATGTCAGTAATGAGATATCAATTAAGCTCCGCGTTCTGTCGCGTGATTTAGTTTGACAAGGTGGTGATTGCAGTTCCTAAAAGTTCTAAGTGAGTAATTATTTTCTTAATCATTGCATTTCTGCGTGGACAGAAAACCAAGGCTTAGAACATTTGTTCTATCTAACCTCAACATCATTGTGTGAGTTAACCTCCTCCCTAACTAATATGCCTACAACCAATTTGAGAAGGTTTAAAATTCTTTACGATCTTATCATGACAAGACGATTGGACTGATAAATGAAGAGATCATGATGCCAGCTTTACAATAACAGCCGTGTAACTCATCGTCAGCAAGCGAACTCTGGGTAGTATCAATGAAATCTTATTCCGTTTAGGCTCGTGTAGTTGTGGTATGAGTCAATCATAAAGACTGCTCTGGTTGATCGTCCCATCGTGAAACCTTTCTCTCATCCAGAAATAGCATGTCAGAACTGCTGGATAGCGTTTTCCATGGTTAGATTCTCAGTGGAAGCCTACGAATGTTTGAAGCAATAATTCACATCATAGACCACTCTGTAACTGCTTAGAAACGCTGAGTTCTCCACGCTCGGTTCAATGCCAGACAACGAACATAGCTTTTGGGTTGCTCTGGGTGGACTAACACAGTTGCCAAAATGCTCAATAAGCACCATACCATGCATCACATCAAAAGTCCTCACAATAAGTTTCTTCACCGATACCACACTTCTTTCCGACAAAACGTTAGAATCATCACGACATAGTGAACCGTTCGCACAAATCGCTCGCAACATATTATATGGACAGTCCCATCTTCACGACTTCTCGTTTCTTTAATCACTACAAAGTGCTGCGAACTGTCTATAGTTTTGCATCCAATGCAACTTACTATATTTCGTTAACTTTTAGGAACTTCTTCACTCAGCTATTTGAGTTTTGAACTGATACGACAGGAAACAAGAAATGCTCAATGTATGACAATAGTGACGGTTCAACATTCGTAATTCATGAGGTCAAGCACAGCTTTGTAATATAGAAGCAAAACATACGGACTGCGTGTTCGCATAAGGCAATGAAAGAATCTTATCAGCTTTGACACGCTCATGTAAAGGATAGCGAGGTCACATATTCCACATCGGCAACCTTATGTAATGAACCGAAAGACCTTGCTAAAAACATACACAGCTTTCTTGACCTAGTCACAGAATCGCGTGGCGGATAAACAGCCAACAGCACTTCTATCTACTGGCTGTATTCTTTGATGAGTTCATTAAAACGGACCGATGAGCATCGATTGGAGCCAGTTCGCACACATGCCGAAATGCGCGCCCCTACGCCACTCGGCTGCCGCGCGCGAACCGCTCGCGCAGCCAGCCCGGTAGGAATAGATGGCGCCATTGACTACTCAACAAGAACAGCTTCTCGTACAGATTCCATTCAAGACCCTCGAAACGGACGAAGCAGGGTTGATCGGACACGTTCTGAAACTATCTGCACATAATAAACTAATCGCTTTGAGCGGCTGATCAGGCCAAGTGGAAGACACAATTCCACTAACTGCCACGCTCCTAGCGAGACAAAGCTAGGACATACGAAGAAAACGGTTTTTCACGCTGCTATTTTGGTCTTTCCACAAAGCTGATGTGAATATCTCGCGGGTGTAATTCGGGAGCACTTGCAAGGATTCTCAAGAAGCCATAGCAATTACATCTCAACATGGTCCGAGAGAAAAGCTAGCTATGAGAAGATGGAACGAGAGCTGATCAAGGTGTTTCTCTTTAATCGGAAAGGAGAAGAAGAGGAAGAAAGAAATTTGGTAGAGCCTAATTCTCGCAGATTCTGTGTACCTGTCCCTTGCGTAGTTTACGATCTTTTCACAATTGGTAAGTCATACAGCAGGGTTTTTCCTGTTTTGTAGAATGTCTTGCAAATTCTCTACTACCAGTTGAGGACAGATGGGTTTTTGACATCACAATGATGAGTCAACTGAAGAAACTCTGGACATATGATTAGAAACTACACTTACGAGTTGATTAGTATTTATATCTTCGACTTTGTAAACTGCTCCGAATCCACCTTCTCCAAGCTTGCTTATAATCCTCCACCTTTTCCCGACTACTTTGCCTCTTGGAATCCTTGTTGCGCAAGATCTTCTGACTGGAGGGACACAATGAGGGAACACGTAGCTGCTTGAGCTTACACGGAGAAAACTGCAGAGCTCTAGAGGGATGCATGCTATGGTGAATAAGAAAAATCTAAAAATGAACTTCCTACCAGGTCACACTATCATTGCATCAAATATCCTGATTTTGATACGCCTCTAGAATTATTATTAGTGAGTTTTCTTTTCCCCGAAGCGTGAAGTACATGTGCCCACATTTGGAACTGAGTCACAGTCTGTGCTCCATTACGAGTTGTCGCTCACATGAAGCAGTGTGAAGCTGAGTTGTTTGAGAAAGTATCGCTGAGCATCAACACATAAAAACTACTTTTGGAGAAGCCGAAAAGGGCTACACTTTGAAGTCATGCTGTGCACGGTGCCTCAGTAAACAAAGTTTTTGGGCCGATCAACACATTGAATTTGAATTTTTTACCAAGCTGCTTGGGAAAGAAATCTTTTCTTTGATCTCTTCGACATTACAGATTACAAATCAAAGATTGATGTACTTCAGTCTACTTAATCTTGGTAAATTTTGACAAGCGCATTGTTCACAATGCATCGAAGGCAACATCCACCCAAATTCGAAGTTGGTGATATTTCGATGCCATGAAATAACGGCACCCAATCACGGGATCGCCTAGTCTGCTGCAAATGCTGGTCTGATGCGATGGACAGCTCCGAAATGCGGCTACTATCATAACAATAGTTTCATCCTGAGCCTGACTTAGTCCACACTTTCGACTTTATCCCGACACTACTGTCTTAGGCCCTGGGCAAACTTCACGCGATTTGATCGTCGCGACTGAGTCGCGACGAGACAACTATTACAACATCATTCCATGCCGATCAACTTGCATTCGGTTGTGATACTTTTCCAGCCCGAAATTTTTGAATGTGAAATGAAAATGAATGGAAATCTTGGCGATTAGATCGCGACGATTAAGTCGCGTGAAGTCTGTCCGGGGCCTTAGAGGAACAAAGTATGTAGAATACTGCCTTAACACAAGGCGTCTCAAAAGATAACCGCTGTCTGATGTCAGTAATCTTTGCAACAACGTCCTGACGACCAAGCCTAGGCTTGAGCCAGAAAGAACCAATCGTTTTTATCACCGCTGCGGCGCGTTAAGTTCAAAATTGTTCCTTGCTTCCTTTATAGCACAGGTAGAGAACAATATGTCGCCAATAGGCCTCTCCTTTGGCGGAGAGCTGCACGAGCTGCAGCCGGGTGTTATATGTAAGAGGGCCCACCTCTCTACCTGCGGCTGGGAATTTCCTACTCTGCGGCAGCGTACTCATGCTGACGAATAGGAGAACAAACGTCACCAGTTCAAGTGCCGCCTTTCGCAGCAACTGCTCCTTTTGCAATGTTATTGCATGTCGTTCCAGGATCAGTAGTCCGGAGCAGCAAAGTGGCGGCGTTCGTTTTCCTACCCCATGCAGCCATCGCAGTCCAAGTCGTAGGATCCCGCAACGACTGTGCGTCTCAACCTTAAAGCACCGTCCACCCTAAGTTGAGGGTGTTGAGCTTTTGGCAGCATATAATAGTAGGGCCCCCTATCAATCCAACGCCCAAGTCGCGGCGCAAAATGCCGCTTCGGAAGGGAGAAAATCGCATCGGAATAGCGAAGATGCAGGAGAACCCCCATCCATGATCGTCCATTTGTGCGCGCCCAGCCAATCACCGTTCCAGAAAGCCGGCCTGTGAACTCTCCGAAACAGGGATTGCTGGGATTTTCGCGCATTCTCGATTTCATATTCGGAATCAGGGACATGAGAAGGCCCTGAAACGACAAAAACATCGAAGTCGAAAATCTGGGTGGACGGTGCCTTTAAGGGCCGGACATACATTGCGCGATTTCTTCGCCTCGCGTGTCCACCCAACAAGACAACTGCTACAGGTCCATTGCATGTCGATCAATTTGCATTTCGGCGGTGGTAGTTATTCTCGATCGGTCATGCCGTGAAACTATCACGAGATGTAAGATGACCGGTATGCAATGAACTGGTAACAGTTGTCTTGTTGGAAGAATCGCGAGGGGATGAAGTCACGTGATGTATTCCCGGCCCTTTAGGCACGTATTCACGTACATCCCCGCGGGGAGTCGTTTTACCAATGAAAAAGATAACGGTATGATCCCCGCTGGAGCTCCAATCCCCTCCCCACGCGAAGCCCCGTATGCACGCAGACAATATCGGCGAAAGGATCCCCTGGGAGTAGGGGAAGTGAACCTCCTTATGCACAAGAGGGGTCGAGCGGGGAAATCACTTCGCTTCCGCTTTTCTATGGCAATTTCTCCTCTATTCTCTTCTCTTGACATCTATTCATCTTTATTCTGTTATCGGCAAAATTTACTCGCTGCGGAAGGTGCGTCTCCTGGTTTCCTCCATCTCAACAACTTTCCATGAGCCTGATGAGAAAATTTTTCAAATAATCTGTAACAAGACGTTTGCTTCAGCTCATAACAATAAATGCTGCCTAGAAGTGCATAAATGAAACACGTTTATTTCCCGTTCAACAAATGAGTGAGCAATGTATAGAAGTAAATAATAATACAAATCATAATTTAGCTGAAAACACATGCAAATTCTATAAGTGTAGTGAACAACTGTAGAGGAGTCACGACATTCGTAGCAAATTCGAACTGAGATCAGTGAAACGATACCGGTTTACGCATGCGAGTCAAATTAAGTCCGTTCCAGAGGGTCTTTGGCCCTGTAGAAAAGCGTTAACAAAAGCTTCAAGAACGTTGCTACTTCTTGGCTTTTGGAATATTCCGGAACTGCTCGGGGACCTCGGACAAAATGCTATGCCATTGACCAACGGGTTTCCTTTTCTGAAAAATATTATCAGATTAGTCAGATATGCAAACTGAATATTGGTAGGCTTCTCGAGCTTTTTTATGGACAAAGTACGATATTGCGTTAATTAGTTTAGACTATACCACAGTTTGGGGCCAATACTCATTGAAATTTTCCTGAGTATAAGGATTTGATTGTTCTTCCGTGTCTTTGAGCAAGCTTACGACAATTTGAAGCTTCATTTTTCCTTCGAAAAGACATTTTTGGGAATACTTTTGAAATTTCGGATGTTGTGGTCTGTAGCATCCCAGAGAGATCCAATTTCCTTGCCAGATTTCCTCAGAGTTTAGAGATAGATCTTTCCGAACAAGCTCAAAATGGTTTCCAGCCTTTTGCATTGCCAGCATATTTGAGTTAAGTTCAGTGCAAGGGGTTGTTCGGATTTCGAAAATTTACAAAAAACTTTAGAAAAGGAAAATTTCTCGAAACGTACAACAAAAACTGTGAGGCACCTGATCGTAGCTACAATCAAATGAGGAGTAAGCTTGGTAAACTAGATTCATGTAGACTTAATACAAGAAAGAGTTAAGGACAGAAAATAAAGTTTTCTGCTCTTTCTCTTCCTTCCCATCTAAGCATAAGCAAATCTGAAGTTAGAGACTTTTGCATTCTACATTTTTGCAGCCCAAAGCAGAAGGTGTTATAAAGGTATTAAGAAAATTTATAGAACTTCATAAAAAATATATAAAGTTTTATTAGTTTGGTCTATCAAGGATATAGTTTGCAGAAAATTCTGAGAAAACTAGCATGATATACAGAGGGTCTACCGTGTAAAGTGCAAGAAGGCTATGTATGGTGAACTGTTCCTTCGAAATCTCTCAGACCTTTGTTGGTCACGACTACCTCTACTGGATCCCTTTTATCGTCATTGCACTTATTTTGACGGGGAGATATAATAACAAGCAATTCCAAACTCTGCATCCAATCTTCTGGGTTTTAGTAAATCACTTTGACATTTTCGGAATGTGAATTCAATCGTATATTCAACTTACATGTCCATTGACGTCGGTATGAGCAAGCGATAGGAAACAATTTTCCCACTGCGTTCGTCCTTCTACCGTAGGACTATCCTTGCCTAACACGCAACATCCGAGAAGATCATCCTTGCCAATTCTAAAACACAATTTCTTTCACAGAGGTCACATGGTCCATGAACAAATAGGACACACCTGTCCCAGTCCATGACTTGAATCAAGAAGTTTGTCTCGGCTACTTGACTTAATGGAAGATCATACTCTAGTGTTTCATGATAAACTGGATTTAAATTCGCTCGTTTGCATGTAGATTTGCGTAATTTTACACGCTTTCCCCGGTACACTTGTTCCACTTTTACATACGGGTCTGTAAATCAGATTATAAATATTCATACAATTAACCGTAAGCCTGATTCTTACCAGAAGCTCCCGTAATATCCATTGGGCGAAGATTATATGCTTTCGCAACAGTAACGAATAATTTCTGTTCATTTGGCGAATAAAGGAGGTAAAGCAATAGGTCACCAAAATCGTTCTTCTCCTGAATACATATCGTAATCGCATTTCAATTAAATTTCAGAAAATCAAAGTTGTTCACCTGGCTACCAATGATTTGCATAGTGTACTCTGTCCATGTGTACAAATCACTTTTATCAAATAAATCTCGCATAATTACATTTCCTATCAAACCATGTCGAGTGAATCTGTCGAAATCATAGACGGTGAACTGAAAAAGTGGAATATCATTTAAATAGAAAACTCAACGTACTTTTGTTGACTTTTAGTGGGTGCCACATATTTACTGCGTTGCAGAAAATTGATATTACATAGAGATAGGGATACGTATATTGGCCTAGATTAGAGTTTGAAACGTATAATAAAAACAATTGTACATATGTGGGAGGGGTTGAGAACGTTAGGGGCGAAGTTTGCCAATCCATATCTACCATTCTTTTCCTTATCTTTAGCCATGCAAACAGTGACTGTTTCGCTTAATGGGTCAGCTATTCTGAGTAAATATAAGGTTCATAGCGGTTTTTGGGCAAAAGTCGATTCTTGGCGCTGAATTTTAGGGTGTTGGCTCAAAGTACGAAGATGAAAACTACACGAATGTTTGGAAATCACCGGGTAAATCGGATTATGCTTGCTCCATCAAACAGTAACTCGAGTCTCATTGGAAAAAATATCAAAATTCTCTCAAGTAGGAAAAACAATAAAATCTTTCGAAACTAGAGGCAATTAATAAAAAATCCATAGAGAATGGCCAAGATTGTTTTCATAAAAATTAGGAATCATACAAACCTGCAGCATTCTTGTAGAAAGACTATTGAATGGAACGTCAAACGAAAACATTTCATTGAAATCTGGGTCCATGGTTTTCTTGCAAATTCTTGTTTTGCAATGATTCCTTCTTTCTGGGAGTAGATACATCTTTACATATGGATCAACAGTTCTGCCTTTGTCCTGCAAAGATTTTGAGCTTCGTAAGAAAAGTTCTCTCAACAGGAAATATATTACCTCTACAGGTAAGTGATTTGCTCTGAGTACGTGAAGCATCAGTACTCGATGAATGAAATCGTAACGTAGCGCGAACGTGAGTGTGCCACGAAAACAGTTTTCGCCGCTTTTCTCGTAGAAGCCGAGCTCGTAGTGGAGCACAGACCGATCGTCCATTTCGTCGAGCTGAAAAGTAGATGGGTAATCAAATAATTCTAGACCAATCACAGAATTGGTCGAAAGTATAAACAAGGACCTTCAGGATGTTTGTTGGCAAAAATGTATTTTGTCCTCCTCAAAGGAATAAAAAATTTTCTTGTTGATGAGATTTGCAAGAGGTGTTTATTCAAAGTAACTCTGATTGAACTGATGGAGAAAGTATGTTGATTTGGACTACCCCTGATAACCTTCAACAACCTCAAGCAATGTTACGAAATCCTTCCAGTAAAGCAGTTGTATGTCAAGGATGGTAGTCCGTTAATTATTACTGAATAATAAACACAATGCGATTAGCTTGGGAGTAATGAGACAGAAAGAATCAGATCTTGGATTGAAGATTGCAATCTTTTACACACTGAAAAATTGTTTCACTTCAGCAGTTTAAGTGGTAATCTTTCTTTATGACATTCAGTTCTTTTAGTCAAGATATCGGGAAAACTCGACCTTTATCCAAAGAAAACCATGGATGCAGGGAGATCAAATGATGTTATATATGCTGAGCTTCAAGCGCAGTGAATTTATACCTTTATGATATAACAATATTGCAAATGGCTAAATTTTCTCCAGAAATTAAGATACAATATTTCATCAAGTTCCTTTTTTGACTCTATCATTCCTTAATTTGTGATGTTTCTGTTTTGGAGTACTTAATGCGCATTGATCAAGGATGAAAAGAAAACTAAAAATTACTAATAGAAAGTTTATGCCCAAATGACGGAGTTTGAGACGATTTCGAATCAAGAAATATCACTGAAATTTCATAAAAAGTTACCAAAAAATCTTAGATCATGTCTACCTCAGACTTAAAGATGAGAATCAGAGAATATCTTTCATTAGCATAGGAAAAATTCATGTCACATGTTAGCCTGAAGCACTACACACCTTAATCACCCCACTACGCACATTATGACCGAACACATGTTGGCGCACATCCGGATAGAAGTGAATAACGCAGATTCTTACCAATTTTTCCACCAGCAGACAAGTGTTACCTCGTTTCCAGAGAAACTGTTCTCAGGAATTCGATGGAAAAGTTATAAAAATCAAAAGATGCCAAGTTTGCGAAAGTAGAAGAAGTTGAAAATGAAGCTCTAAGTTTAGAGAAAAGACGAACTCGTAATTGTGAAATTGATTAAGGAAAATAGGAAACTTGTTCCTCTTACCACACATTTTCAATTCTCTACGAAGAAAACAGACAAAGACTGTTTCAAAAAAATTATGGCTTCTACTCACTGCTCCCTCACTTAGATAATTCACAGGAACTTCCGTAGGACAAGCAAAAGTACAACGGATTTTGTTTACTATTACGAAAGTGAGAACCTTGAAAATGGGAACTTCCACGGGATTTTCACGTCAGGCTGGCTGAAAACGAATTTCCTCAAGACCTGTTATAAAACGCTGCGAAAATCCCGAAAAGTGGCAACGGTTCCGCAGCACTTTGATCAGTTAATCCCAAACTTCATCAAGAAGAAGCGACTATACCAGATATGCGGCCTTCCAAAAGCCAGTACTTCCGCAGGTGACCCGACGGAACTTTTCCAAATGTTCTGCGGAAGTTCCGGTCAACTGTCTGAGTAGTATGGAACTCATAGTAATGGATATAGTATGTGGATGTTGGATTAAATGGTAGTCCTTTCCAGTGAAATTTCGAGAAACATTAAATTTCACATCATTGCAAAATAGCCACCATAATCGCTTTTGCCACGAAAAATCTGGGAAGTGTAGATTCAATTCGATATATTCACAAGGGAGATGAAATGCGTCCAGAAGGATCTTATTATGCCATGTGGCTGAGAACTCAACCCCAGAAAATCAGAATTCAAATGCAGTCTTATGGAAAGGATGGCACTCCCTATAACTCAAGCATTTCCTCGTTTCTAACTCTTACAAGATCGAAAGCGTTGCATTTTGTTAGTTGGAGACTTCTTTAAAAACTTCGACCAAATCGAACTGTTGTAGATTATGAATCCTACTTTGTATTCTTTTATAAAATTCTATTCTTATCTCACCTCTCTTTGCACATACACAAAACCGGGTGCTTGATAGCTGGAATCCACGTCTGCGTAAAAAACAACATAATAACAATTTAAAGAATTGAGCGCCATTACCGGAAAAGAAATTATCATTCTGCCTGCGACAAGTCATTTTCATACAGCTGTAGGATGGGTTTGATTAAGGAAGCAGGAAGAAGATGTTTGTACAAACAAGCGAGCATATTTATAAGTAAAAGCTCAGAAAATTCAAAAGCTTTTCTCCTCGTTACTTGCTCAAAATCTTTTTTCTAGTAACTTTTGACAGCGTGATCTCCTGACAACTTCATAAGCTTGAATCGTTTTTGCAAATTAGTAAATTGACGATGAGGTTTCAAATATTATACTTCGAGCATTTGCGAAAAATTCTCGATAGAGTGATTGAAAATTTGTGGACGAATGAATTTGTACTAGCGAATAAGTCAGAATGCGTAATGTAAGTCCTTGAGCTTCTAGCCAGGAGCTTATTTTCCCAACAAGATCTGAAATTTGCGACCCTTCTTCCAAGATAGTTCTCGTTTTATATCCAAAGAAGAAAGAGCTCCGCCGGCCGCTCATCAGTAACGAAGAAAAATTATCATTCATTAGCGCTTTTTTCGCTTGTCTGCATTGGTGACTTCCTCAAAGAAGCAAAAACCGTGCATGTGAACAAAATCGGATTCATCGTCTTTGTGATTAGCCAACATCTGTAATACATAATAATGAGTGGTGTTCTACAAATGAGTGCTACATGCAACATACATTCTCACTGCTTGGGATAGACTCTTGGTCAAGCCTTTCTATCATGCATTCCAAGAAAATTCGCCTTCAAAAATTTCCAAACACAACCTCAAAAATTAGTGTAGATCTGAATGACAGACAAGAGTATAAAAATGACTCAAAAAAGACCAAAAAACTGGCTGAAGGGAGTAGTAACTGGCAAGTTTTAGCCATTATTTGGTGTAGAAAAGTAATCATCTCTAAGTGAAACAATAGTAATGTGCAATGTAATAATTAGCATTTGATTCTGTAGTTTTTTCATGTAAGAAAATAGTTCAAAAAAGTATCATCGATGAAACATCAGCTAAGCTTTCTCTAGAAGAATTCGCACGACGGTCACTGGTAGTGCGAGCAATTTTAAAGGAGGGGAGGGGGACGCAACAGAAACTCGCAAATGAAGTGAAATGGGTTTGCTTCTCCTTCTCCTCTGAAGAAAGTTGGCCCCCAACCCTAGAATTTCGGGTGGAGGACTATATGTCGCCGAATTTGGAAGATTCCCGCGCGGATTCCCTGCAGGAACGCATGTCCGCGCATATACAAGGGTGCGTATTTGTCGCAAATGACCGCGGGGACCGCCCTTTTTCGGCGACGTATAGTCCTCTACCCTAGAATTTCGAGGAGAGGGGACGTAGTTGCCGTTCATAAAGTCAAAAAATTATTCTAATTATTTGCAAATAAAACCAAATCCTTTGCAACTGTGTAAGACCACCTTCACAAATTTTGCAGCACATTTTCTGGCAGACGTAGGCGGGGGGAGAAGCTGGGTCGCCATTAACAGCTGCGCGATGATGTATCGTCCAAAAATATACCAGTAAGTCGCACCTCCTCCCCCTCTCCCCATCACCCTCAAATATAGCATTACAGCTTTAATCAACCAGCATTATTTGCAGCTCAACGTTCTTTTCGCTCACCAATCAGCATATATTGAACTGCACTTAAAATGTAAAATTAGGTAAAGAAGATGAATGAGTTGAATGATGTGCTGCAGCTGTTTTTCTGCATGCGAGAGTGAAAAATTAGATGTTTGATGTATTGGATCTGCGGTAGACGAGGAGAACTATGAGAATAATCCGCTTGTCTAAAGGAGGAACGATGAATTAGTGTCTCATTAAAGCACTCTACTCGTTATATCCAAATAAGTCTCTTCAAACCCTTTTGAATTTTGCTATGACTTTGCGAGGCAAGACTTGGCAGTCCCTTCTTTCAAAAGATGAACAAAACTCTGGATTTTTATCTGGATATCAATGGTCGGCACAAGTTTTGCAAATTCACTACTATGTTGGGACGATCTTTATTTGTTCCCCCTCCACATTTCGGGATTCTCCAAACAATCAAATCAGAGTTCATGCTACTATTCGAAAAGTCTTTGAAAAAGATAGGCGCTAAAAATGAGAACGAATGGAGGAATATAGACAGAGATTGGTCCTTGCTTGTTTACTTACAACAATTATTTAAAGAACTACTTCTGTAAAGCTAAAGTTAAAAATAACTAATAAAGTGTTCAGGGGTAGTTGAAGAGTAAGCGAAAATACTGAAGAAGAAACATTTCAAACATTTTCTATAGTCAAGAGCTAGTAGGAGGCACAATGAAAAGAAAAAGAAGAATAGCACCTTTACACCTCGAGAGCTTCGCTCTAGAAAGTCTACTCAGATTATGGAAATACAAAGTGAATATTGCTAGAAACCAAAACATCTTAAAACGTGAAATTTTCAAAAATTGAAAAGATGTACGAAAAATTTTACTAAAGTTTAGCTGACATCGTTTAGAATCTTATGCGGCTTCCAAGAACAAAAAATTTCTGCGAGCTTTCTCTTCTATCACGGCATGAATCGTCGGCTGCAATGGCAGCAGGTTTTCTAGATAAATGTGAAGTCCACAATTTTTCGTTGTCTTCCTTCCTTTGACCTATACGTCTGGAGCACAGTGGCGGACGAGGGGGAAGGGAGGGGGACAGTCCCCTCCCCCGAGAGTGGGTTGCGAAGTGAAAAATTGTGCAAGTGACTTGTTTATTTTTTCCTAGATTTTAGGGGTCATGTGCCCGCAAAATTTTAAGAAGCATCCCAGAAATTTTTTCGGAGTTCATCTTTATTCAAATTTTTTTAGCCCCCCCTCCCGGACGAAAATCTTGGAACCGCCCCACAGCATTCTACTTGATGCAAAAATTGCTCTTCAACTGTGTTTCCTCCAGCAGATGTAGGAGCGAGAAATCAAATGTACCAGATATGATAATGAATAATGGCAAACGTATAGAATTCTATGATCTGCGCGTACTGAAAATAGTGTGAGTGGATAAGTTTCTTCTTTGTTTCATCTTCACGTGTAAAAGGAATGTAAAGTTATCAATTGAACGCTTGAGGGTTCGTAGTGCACAATGAGAGAAACGGCCAATATATTTGGTGCTCTAGGCTGAAATTATCAAAATCGATTCTCGAAAATTTGAATCTTTTACTGTGCAAGTATTTTCGCTCATAAATGATGACAGCAAAGCGAGGAAAACACGCCTCCTTTACAAACTTCGCAGCAACTAGAAGGGAAGTTATACATGAACGATAGGCTAGCTGCAAGTTCTGCACGGTGTCGAGTTTCAGCAGCGCGGCTAACGATATGGCGTCACCATTCGACAAAAAAACTTATATGCAAAGATGTAGTCGTGAGAATGGCCTTATATGAGAAGGTGGAATGAGAGGGGCAGCTTTCGCTCACCTCATTATCCATATCCACGTCGTCGTCGAAAAGGAATAGGCTGTTTCTAGTGAAAGAAGCTCGGCGTTCTTCCTCGATCAGCAAATCGCAGCTGTCAGACCTGAAAGTAAAACATGAAAATACGATTACTCATATGGGAAGGCATAGCGCTGAAGACATATAGCCATCATATTTTATCACGTTTTCAGCCGTGAAAGAAGAATCAAAAGAAGGTTTGGAAAGATTCATTCTGGCCCAAAGTTCAAGAAAACGACAAGAGTTTGAAAACTTGACAGCTGTAGATTGACATCCCAACACCTTTCAGTCTGCAAAGACTCGGAAAAGAAATCTGAGACGTATTCTGTGTTGATCTTTGCTTTTTTCGTACACATCTGTTCCCGACTATGCGCCCAATATGTTTGGGAATATTGCTTAGTAAACAATGGAGCGGGGACAAATATCGGAGATTCACTAATTATAAATCAAGCATGCTCATCTGCTTTTTGATCCATACCAGCTGTTTACATAGAGCAAAAGAATTGAGATAAAAGGTTAAGCATTGCATTTGGATTTTAGCTCAGCGAAAAGCAAATTCGGACTTGGAGAAAAGGCAAAAGTGCTTGTTTTCCTAGAACCCTCAAAAATGACCCCAAAAAATGCTTCCTCATTTTCACTGCTGTTGAAGCACTCACTGTAATGTCGCTGTTGCGGAAGAAATTCTTGATGTCATTTCCTGGTTCGTGCAAAATGCAAAATTTAGAATACATATGAGAAGTGGAGAGCTAGGACTTTGCTTAAATTTAAAAAATTTTCCGACTTTATTTTTGTGATATCAATCATAGAGACATGAATTTGGGCACTTCACAACTTACAAACCGTGACTGCAAGAAAGCTTTACAGTTTCAAAATCTTTTATATCTGAATCCGAGTTACGGGGTATTACTCAAGAGAAATGATGTTCACTTGCAACACACGAAAAAAAATTTCGTATATATTTTGTGACCAGAATTATCTGAGCATGCTGTAAATTCATATGACGTAGCTGTGAACTCAGTGAAAAACCAAAGTTTTCCTCTAATTCATAAAAGAAGCAGAAAGATAGCGGGATCTTTCAGTGAATCAAACTGCTTCATCCTTTTTTCCTCTGATGTTCCAGAAATACTTGGTAAATACAAAACAAAAACAACGGCAGCCTCAACCTCTTACTCCAAAAAATTCTTGTGTGAACAAATAGCTTGACGCGCGGCGGAGATGAAAGTTATGAAAATTCTCAGATTGATCGAAAATCTAGCTGATTAGCTGTTCAAATTAGCTACACAACAAAGAACTAAACAAATTTTTTTCATATTTGCGCTGTGTATTTGAATTTTCCTTAACAATTTCTTGTATCGCACATCGTCTTTGACATAAAAAGAAATGGCTCGGCTTTCTCGGCTTGAAAAGAAATGTTCTACGAGCTCCATTATATACTTAGGAATATGCTGGATTTATTTCGAATTCTTGAGCAAAAACCCCTTCTCCCCGTGTGAAATTTACGTCATGTACATGTCTAGAAATTTAGCTCACGCAAAAAGTTTTCGCTATTTTTGATATTCTAAGAAACTTCTACTCGACTCCGTTCATTTTGTGAGCATTTCTGAGAAATTTCCACGAAAAGGATAGCTTACGTGGAAGCGGGAGCTGGGCTGGTGAACGGTGAGCTTCGAGTTGATCCATGGCGTGGATCCATCCACGGCGGTGAGCAGCTATCGCGAGAGAATACGCGGGCCCGGTACGCGCCATTCATGCCTGAAAAGGGGAAATTTTTGAGGTGGTGGGGGGGGGGGAGAACAAGAACGAGAACAACTGTAGGATATCACTCTTCAAAGGGTTCAGTAGTGGAACAAACAAGCATTTGTGCCTCGTACACGAGAGTAAACGGGCGATCAAACATCAAATAATTCTGGGGCTGGACGTAAGCCAGGATTGGCACACTTTCGGTCAACAGAGGGATATTATTTATTTTGTAAGTATATTGCCCGTTACTCATATTTCCCTCGATTTCCCAAGGAGATTTCTCGATATTTCCCTAAGAAACTCCTGCAACAGCCCAGTGATGTTCACCAAAATGTGAAAGAAGTTGGTTTTCAAATGAAGACCACACAAGACGGAGGAGATACTAATTGTGAAAACAGCGTCCAAATGCTTGTGCTTTCGACAAGATGGTGGAATCTTTTGACGAGCATAGGTATTTATAGATAAAAAGCTATAAATATTTACGACCATCCGCTCAGAAGGAGCAATAAAACTCAAATTTCTTTGGCAAAAGGAAATGTGGCTTTGTCAAAAGCATCTTACAAAGACGAAGGCACCAGGGTATTTTTTTAGAATGTTAGAATAGCGATACACACAGTTTAGTTAGTTTAACGGGGAAAAGCCGAGGCATTCCTGCATTACAAATCTCGGTAGTCCTCGCATGTTCAGTATATGATTGCCAAAGTATTTGTCACTCTTTCAACTAAAAGGAAATCGATTTTCAAAATTTTCTGCACATTTCAAGCTTCTTATGGGTAGGCTGATTATTCTAAAAACTTACTGGACAATAATTTATATGAGATATGTTTTGTTGATTTCCAGCTACATGAGAAAAGTAGATCACAAGGTTCCTGCCTACGGGGAGAGTTTCATTGGACAGATAAATTTTAACGGCGAACAATGTGAAACTGAAGAAATGCTCTTATTGGACGGCAATCAACAAAGATATCGGATAACTGGCGTGACAAGTGTGAGCGCACTCAATTTTGTTAGAAGGTATAATAGCGTCATGGTGTTTCCCTAAAAAGCATACCAATCCTGACGTATGACGAGGGGACTACTTTAAGATTTTAGAGGTGATTTGGAAAGCCTAATTTGGGCTTCAGTTATAAAGCTTGATGTGCCTATCAAAGCTATTAGGTTGATGCATATTTCATGCACCAAAATAGGTACAGACCGCAAGAATCCGGAATAATCCTACATTCCAAATAGGATCCGATATATTATTAGATAGAGCAAACCTACTCTACAAGACATGCCTAAAGTTTTGCAGCAATTTGATGAAAGCGAAGATTGAAGCCAAAAACGAAAAAGATCGAAACGCCCCAAGAAACCAAGAAAAAATTGCTAGTCCGTTCAGAAAAATCCTGCAAAATTCCTAACATGCTCATGCATTGTCATTTCCTATAAGACATTTCCCTACGCAGTTGCTATATTTTCCTCTCAGCTAGAAATTGAGAAAACAAAGCTTTTCATGTTTTTTTCGGAACAATGCTGAGATATGTAGTGCTGCTCCAGCACTGACAGTTGTGTACTACAGGACTTCAGAAGCATGAATTTGAATTTTCAGCTTTGTACAGCAGCTAGTTTACGAGAAATATCGAATTTCAAGCAACTAGGCAAGAAAATCCGGATAAGGAAAGCTAGAGTCGACATTTCTCGTGAACTAGTTCTTCTAAAAGTTGAAAATGTAAAGTTCCACTGCTAATGGCATGTATAATACTATACAACTGTTAGTGCTAAAACATCTCAGCACTAATTTGGCAAAAACAAAAAGAAATTTTGAAGGATTTTTCTGAACGAACTTCCAATTTTTTCTTGGTTTTTGGAGCGCTTGAATCTTTTTCATTTTTGGCTTGAATCTTCGCTTGGATCAAAGCCGCTGCAAAACTTTAGACACTACTCTGTAGAGCTAGGTTTGCTCTATCTAATGCTCTATCTAATGATCGAAAATCCTTTTTGGGGTGAATTATTCCGGATTATTGCGGTCTGTACCTATTTTGTTGCAGGAATTATGCATCAACCTAATATATTGTTGTCAAAATTTGGTGGTACTGGTCGTTATTTAGCAAAGTCATGCTTTCATTTAGTTCATTCATGTTCGGTAACTTTACGTTATTTTCTACTAATTTGACAATGGTGAATTGAAGTTAAACAGTTACGAAGATTAATGAAGCAAGTAGGTGTAGCTGTAATGTACTGTAAATCATATTATGTGTTACAGACTACGTACCCTGTGATTTAACTGGTTTGGCGGCTGGAAGGCAGGCCTTCGTGACATGTTAAGGCTAAAGAATGATCAAAAAGCGCGCGCGAGTGTGACGCAGACTGCGTCGCGGGTGCGGGTCTCAAATAGGTCACAAAGCCCCGCCTTCCAGCCGCCAATCCGGTTGAACCATAGGTTAGACATTTGCGAATGTTATTGATTTCCACTGTAGACGATATGAGTAAGCTCTTTGAACAGCTATCAGAATGTCAAACATGGAATTATCGAGCGGGTTTGATGGCAGAAGTCAGGAAAATACGAAAACGGAAGCTCACTTGTAATACTTTTTTGTAAATGAAGCCTATTTATACAACTAGATTCCTGACATAAGGCAAGAAAGGTTTTTGCTGTTCTTTTAACAATTCTTAGAGCGAATTATTGATACCGTGGATGTTACATTCTGAGTATAACATTGGTACACGATAGATACGAACGGTTTGCTATGTGTTATGACTACAGATTGTGATCCTTCTGATCTTCAATAAAAAATGAAAGGATTAGAATATCCAGAAAATGGAGGATACCATATACTGCCTTGATAGTACACTTGAAAACAAATGGTACCAGTAGACGTAGGTTTCACTGAAAACCTTGAAAACTACGCGCTCAAGACTTTGTAGCAAATAAGTACAGTGTATTTTTGTGGCAAAGACGACAAAGAAAATGAATTTGAAGCTTCAAATTATTTTTAAGTTAATGCAGAAAGACAGAAGACAAAATGCAGGAAGGCACGAGATAAACGCTCTCAAACGTTTACTAATGCTCGAAATCACATCACCCTCACTGAAATCAAAGAATCCCTCGCCATAAAAAGTCATCATTAGAGCAATTTTCATGTCCAACTTTGTGCAAGCGCTCGTTTTCTCAATGATGTAAGCGAGGAAGACGATGTACTGAGCAATTAGAAGCAGAATCACAGATTACACTGCAGCCTCAGCACTTAATTCACGTCTGACTTCCGAGGAAGAACGACAATCGGAAAGCACGTCGCAATTTGAAAAATTCCAGATTTTGCGAAAATTTAAGCAAGCCTGCGATTACAAGGCGATTATAGGCTCACATAGAAAGCCCATGATCTAGTCTTTCCAATAATTTTGAGGCCATGCAAGACTATCCTGAGAAAATGAAGTTCGGTTTTTTGGAGGTGGTCGGACAAAACCATCTTAACCTAATAAAATAGTGTTTCAAGAATATTTGGAAAGAATTAAGCAGTTAACTAGAAATGCTACTTGTTTGTTTCTGACTGAAGCTTACGACAAGGTATGAGATTATTTTAGCTCAGGAAAGTGACAAGGAGAAAATTACGAAAAAGAATGAGTTTGGGATTCTTATTATAAAGAAGCCCAGTGGAGGTAAGGCCTAAAACGCTTTCAAAATTTGTTGAGGAATCAAAGGAACGCATGGTAGGTTTCGGGAAAGCGCGATTTGGTCAAAATTGGGTGCTAGAGTTTCTCATGTTATAACTTTAAGGGAGATTTCAACTACTAAAATAGCTCAGGTGACAGCTCTTGAGGTGCATATTGGATAAAAAAAATTCAACCCCAAACTCTCGCCCACTACCGTAACCTCTATGATACTTGACGCTATTGGTCCAAAGGGTACGATATAGAGAAAGGCTAACGTCGAGTTTCTAGGTTAGGAAAGAGTAATATAAGCTAATGCTTGGATAATGGCTTAGATAGGGCCCATATGTTGATCAGTATCTACACAAGAAATGTATGTACCCAAACTTGCCTGGGTACCTTTTAAAGACTGAATAGATGCGAAATCATGCAAACCGGAGAAATAACAGATTTGAATGAATTATGAATTACCTCCGCAAACTTTCAGTACTCTATGCAGTTGTTTTCACAAAAACCCATAGTTTGCGTCAATTGCCTACGACGATTGTGATTATATGAGTACAACTTGCTATATATCAATGCATATATGCTTTTTATGGTACATAAACAAACGCCTCAAAGTACGAACCAATGCCGTTTTGTGATGCCGAATGACGCGCCTGATACGTGAAAGTTCACTTTTTCCTGCTGACAAACAAATTTGGCTTATTGAAATGGCTACCATTCCAAAGGGCTGAAATAAATTAATTCCATGAAAAACGAGCCTTAGCTGTAGATCCAAAACAAGAGGAAGTTAAAAAGTCCACGGGAGCAGCACGTGACATGCTAGAACAGAGCAGTAGAGGTCCCAGGATTCCCGTACGCGGGAAGGGGAAGGGTGGAGGGGGAGGAAGCAACAAAATTTCGTTATGTAATGTTGGGAGGCCAGACTCCGAAAATTTGTTTTAGATACCTCAAAAAAATTTTTCACACTATTTTGAATTTTTGAAAATTTTCAAGAAGTGTTGCAACATGCATTGATCAAAACATGTATGATGATATGACTACTTCAGGCAAAAAATCTGTTTTTACATTGTGGGAGAAGAGGGATAGTAAATAGTGCTAATTCTGCTGCAGTCGCAAATCAGCTTAGTTAGAAGAAATCTAACACATTATGAGCTTGCACACTAGGGGTCTCTCAAATTTCTGCCCCCTCAAAGGCGATCATTACAGACGAGGAGTCCAGTTCGGCGATGCCATCAATGGCATTTAGAGCAAAATAAAATTCAGCAAAAAGCATTTTCAAAGTTTCTAATATTTTGGGGACGATACAACCAGACGATACATTTTACTGGCGCCAAGTACTTATAGGTTCCACATAATTTTGAAGACGAGTTTCCAACAAA